TTTTTTCCAGATCCTTTTAAGAAATTTTTCGGCATTTTGTCAGCTTAAATGCAGAAAATAAGGTAACAGTCGGAAAAAGTGGTAACATCTCGTGCATTGGCTTTTGTCGAAAACCTATGCCCAGCATCATACTTTCAATTTGCCGACCTGCGTTGTGATTTTCACTCCTAAGATTCATGATTGTCGTGATTCCCACCCCAGAGGCTCACGATATGGTGGTTTTCCTTTTAGAGACACACTTTATAATCCGGTTTCTGAAACGTAACATAGATCCGATATCGTAGCCTACCATAACTCTGATGAATTCTTTGGAATTTACATATTTGTTTTATACGTTCCGAGTTTTTTTTCCCTGCTTAAAGTACTCGTGAATCTAATGTTTGTATTCGTTGCTTATAACGTGGTTTCGAAAATGTTTTTGATTTTTGTGCTGCGTTTTTGTAATAAAACAATAAAGTGTGACCAATTTATTGTCCACATTAAGTAGGATAAAAGTAAGAAGATAAATTATGCGTAACTTTCTGGATAAGTGGTACCAGAGTTCGAATTAACACAGCGAAAACTGTGCTGCAACTGAGATGTTAATATCAGGATCACTTGAATTGATGGCTGGGACCCCCACTGTCATTATAACACCAAGAATTGGTGTCACTTGCGTCACCACTGGTCACTCAGATGACTGACCGGGTGAAAAGGTCATTCCGGGCAACTGATCGAAAAACCAGATCACTCGGTTGGACAACATGTATCGTCGTATACGATGTGGGTAGTCGGTAGCGTAACTCATGCTGATCCTGATCAAGATCTCTCAGGCTATCCATTTCTACCTCTCACCCAAATCCGCTCAGTGGTTACTGGAACCTCAGTCATAAAGATACCCAGACTACGATCGTAAGGTGCTATTGAGGTATTAATCACCAAGAAATCCTCGATGTCCGGTGTGGAGAGGCCGTAACGCTGTTGAGTCTCGGTCACTAGAAACACTCGGACTGTGACAGTGGTACTTGCGAATCTGCAGGATATAGTGAAAAACCGGCAGCTGTGGAGCAAGAGATGTATTAGGATATGCGTGCTGCGACATACAGCAGGCGTGGAACTTGCACTGAGTGAAAGCTAACTGAAATTCACTAAATTCTGTGAAACAAAGCGAAGTGTTGCAAAAAGAAATTTGAAGAAAGATGATTTTTACAGGGTTATGCGCTGTTTAATAGGATGGCACATT